TAATCTCAATGCAGCGGAAATTGCCCAGAGCTGATTTGTGACAATGGCAGCTTCAACTCGTTTGGCCTGTCTGGGAAGCGGGCAGCAGCTCTGCAGAGCAGGGCAGAGAGGAGCTACCTGGGGACAATGGGGGCCCTGGGAAGGCACTGATGGGGGTGATGGGTCCCTGTTTTTCCTCTCTCAGAGACATGTATGATAGAAAGAGCCTGAGGGAAAATCCTATCATTCCCATCCTGGCCAATAAGGGATAAATTGTTTAAGTGACATGTTTATCTACTTACTTTTTAAGAGACACAGGAAAATGTCTGCATGCTGGGATGACTTCCGTAAAATGTTGGATGAAGTCCCTTGGGTTGTACTCTTGGTATCCAGCAGTTGCCACCAACCTGGTAAAGCTGAGTCCATCTCAGCGTCCCAGCAGCGAGGTGAACCTGTTTTCCCTCCTTCCTTGTTAGGTGTCATCACTGGGGGTCACCACGTTCAGCCTCTGCGCTCTAGGCATCGACAGGTTCCATGCAGCCACGAGCCCCCAGGCCAGTGCCCGGCCCATCGAGCAGTGCCATTCCATTATCGCCAAGCTGGCCGTCATTTGGGTGGGCTCCATGACACTCTCGGTGCCAGAGATCCTGCTGTGGCAGCTGGCACAGGACACATCGCCTGTGTCCGGTATGGCGACGGAGTATTGCACCATGAAGCCTTCATCCCACCTGCCTGAGTCTGTCTACTCCCTGGTGCTCACCTACCAAAATGCTCGGATGTGGTGGTACTTTGGTTGCTATTTCTGTTTGCCCATCCTCTTCACTGTCAGCTGCCAGCTGGTCACCCGGAGGATCAGCGGCACCGAGAAGAAGACTGAGTGCCGGGGAACCAAACACAGCCAGTGCGAGAGTCACTTGAACTGCACCATCATTGGGTTGACCATCATCTATGGTCTCTGCACCACCCCTGAGAATGTCTGCAATATTGTGGTGGCCTACATGTCCCCTGACATGTCCAGGCAGACTTTGGACCTGCTCAGTCTCATCAATCAGTTCTTCCTGTTCTTCAAGTGCTCTGTGACGCCGGTCCTGCTCCTGTGCCTCTGCAGACCCCTAGGCCAGGCATTCATGGACTGTTGCTGCTGCTGCTGTGAGGGATGCAGCCCAGACACCACTTCCAGTGAGAGCAGCGCTGACAGCAAGCTCAAAACAGAGATGTCCTCCTCCATCTTCTTCGACAAGCCCCGGGAGTCACCCCCACCTCTCCTGGCCCTTGGCACACCTTGCTAAGCACTGCCAGGGATATGTAGAGATCATTTTACCACCTTCTCCCAAGACCAAACATTTTCTTTTTGCTGTTAGTGCCTGTGTCTGGATGTGGAGCATGCAGAAGAGACAGCTCAGGGGCTGCGCCACAAGATTCAAACCCCACATCTGGCAAAGGGGTTTCCAGTCCACATAGCTACGTAGGCAACCTTCATGCCTCTGCCAAAAGACCACCAAGGACACCAGCATCCTCCTGTCCAGGCTTCCTGGCCCAAGGATGTGCAGGAAAGGTCCCATCCGACAGCCAGGAGGGTTTCCACGGTGACTTGCAGAGGACATTGCAAATATAACTCACCCTCATTCTATTCTGTCCCCTCCACAGTAGAAGGTCCCAGTGACTGTGCCCTATCAGTTGCAAGCAGTGCCCTTTAAGAGCTCAATAAATCAGTAACCTAGAGCACATTGCACGTGCCACCATCCAGCACCGCAGATCAGAGTGTCTGGAGGGAGGGCGGGGGACAGGTCTGTGTTTTGGGTTTGTATGAGACATGGGGACTCTGGGGTGGCCAAGCCGAAACCACCCTGCGGCCTACCAGGAGGCCAGGGGACATTTCCGGGCCCCCCCCGGCGCGCGGGGCCCCGTCCGGCGGCGCTTATTAAAGCTCCTTGTTCTCTCCCCTTGGCGGCCACCCCCGGGCCGCCACATGCCAGGCAGAGGGAGCCGGTTGCTACGGGCGCTGAATGCGAGGGGCTCACTGAGGGCTTTGTGCCGCCGCGACACCCACCGGGCCGCGCTTTCTCGGCGCAGTTGCCAGGGAAACAAAAGCCCCAGTTTTCTTCACAGAACACAACACTGAATTTATTTATTTATTTTCTCCCCCCTGCCTCCCCCAATCTCAGCACTGCCGAGATGCTCCCAAACCCTGTCCTGGCCCCCAGCAGCTCGGGAAGGGGGAGGATGCAGGCCAGGGGCTGGCGGAGGAGGAAGACAGTCACATCCATGGCCTGGCACATGGAATAAAAGATGTCCCGCGCCCACGCTGCCCTCTGTGCCCTCCGCATCCTTGCCCAGGTCCAGTGGGCAAGGCGGGAGTTGCGTTCTTGGCAGGACAAAAGGGTGCCGGGGGCGGCAAGCCTCCCCCCGCACGCACGCAGGCTGGCGCGAGGGGAGGGAGAGTGGCTGCTTTCATGCACTTCGCGCCGTGCCGGTTTGTCCTGAGCCCGGAGCAAGGGCGAACAAAGCCGGGCTTGTTGCTCCGGTCCTGCTGGGCTGCAGGCACGTGGGGAGGAGGAAGAGCTGGGGAGAAACGCGGGGCTGGGGGCAGGGAAGCTGTGGACCGGGCTGGCGAGGTTGTGCACAACGCACCGACTCGGAGTGCAGACCCCAGGACAGGCGGAGGACTCGGGACCAAGAGGAGTCCTGGTCCCAGAGCCGTGGGCTCCCACCAACGTGAGTACCAGCTGGGGCAAGATGTGCCAACGGCCTCCCCAGCAGTATCCGTCACCCAGGGTCCCTCCTTAGGTGCAGGAGAGCCAGCAGCACAAGGAGAGAACAGGGAAGAGGAATGCAATGGCCAGGTGGGAGGAGAGCAGCCCCCTTGACATGCACTGAGGGAAGTACCCAGCCTGGAGAGCTTAGGTACCCAGAGAGAGTGCTAGAAAGCACAAATCTTAACTTCGATGTGCCCCTCACCAACAACGGCTACTGCCCAGAGCAAGAGACCCTGAAGCAGATTTGTAACCCCAGCTCAACCCCTGCATCCAAGTGCTGCATCCTGCAACCATCTCAGGCTAGAGCGTATGGTGGGAGAGGAACATGTGGCCACCAAGACAACTGTGGCTGGAGGTCTCCAAGCCCATCTTCATATCCAGGCCAAGAAAATAAGGCATCTGGAGCCATCGAACGTGGCCCAGCACAAGGCACCGAGAGCTGCCCAATCTTGCAAGGTGAGCACTGGCCTCAGCATTAATGCCAAAGGGGGCTGGTGACGCCTGTGCCCTGTGCTCCAAGGTATGCATGTGGCCCCACAGAAGAGGGTGGATGGAAAAGGGAGAGTGAGAAAGCAACATGACTGCAACCACACCCACCAACACAAAATTGTTAATTTATTATTATTAGGAAGCAAAAAAAAAAAAGTTGTACAGTTACAAGAATCATTTCCCAACAGAGGTCAAATCTGAGCCAAAGTCTCTTAAAAAAGAAAAAAAGAGGAAAAAAAAAAAACCAAGGGGGAATGACAACACTTTACAATTCATTAAATAAAAAAAGAAGAAGAAAGAAATAAAAGGAAACCTCTCTTTGTGCAATTCTGCAAAAATGAGAACAGAAAAAAACACCACAGCCTTGCTGCCCCCAGGAGCCAGTCCGCGTATGGGAAAAGGGCTCCGAGAGGGACCCTGCAGCTTCCCGTACGGGCTGCAAGCTGTCTCTCAGCAAAATACAGGCAGGGAGGGAATGCAATGGTCCCCGGGTTATCTCCATTCTCTCCCCTCATCTCCGAGCTGGAGAGAAGCAGGAGACCCTCCAACGTGCCACAGCTCTGACCCCACTTAAGCACCTCTTGGCATCAGCGTGTCTTTCCCTGTGCCACCAGAAGGCCAATCTGTGTGTCCTCTCACCTGCTAACTGGCCCATAAGCAACCTGGCAAGGCCCCAAGGCTGCGCTGTGCAGAGACCGAGCAACTCAGCACACAGCACAGACAGGCAAAACCTTTCTGACTCGTCTGGGTTTCTTCTCACTCCTTCTGCATATGCAGAACACTGAACACTGACACCCACCAGCCCTGCTGTCCCCTCCATCAGTGCCCTGAGGGCCCTGTAGCTCCCTTTAAAGCCAGGATATGCAGCATAGGGCACAGGGAGCAGGACACAGTTTGAAGCAACATCCTCCCTCCTAGTGGGGACCACTGCCAGTACCAAAAACACTCTCAGGGTCCTGCATCCACAAGGGGAAAATTGCCTCCTTCTCTACCTCCCAACACCCTTGTGCAATGTGTTCAACCAAATCAGAAACCAGCAGCTCCAAGCCAGGGGTAGGGCAATGCCTTTGGGCATGCAGGAAGCAATCTTGGCCACCCAAAGAAGCTGGACAATATGAAGCTGAGACGGAGATGTGCCTGTGGGGCAGCTGGGGCAGGGAGGGGGCAGGGGCCAGCCCCATGCTCTCCACTGGTAGCCACTATGGCTATCCCGAGGTTTTCCAGGGCCACCTCCTGCCTGAGCATGGCATCCAGGCAGGCTCAGCCCCCAGCTGCGCTCCCCGTGCCACAGATTCCCGCAGCATGAGGCAGCCCGAGGGCCCTGGACTCTGTCCCATCCCTGGTCAGGAGAAAACGCAGGGGTGGGAGACAAATTGCCCATGAAAGCGAGGAGAGGGTCTGGGGCAGCAGTAGGGTAGCTGGAGATGCTGCATGGAAGTTGATCTTACCATGGTCATGAGAGATCCCCATTCCCAAGGGCAGTGAGAGGAGCCCATGAAGAGGAAGGGCATCCCCTCCCCAGGCAGCTGTGCCCATTGCACTCCAGGGCGAGCCCTGCCCGAAGGAGGCCAAAGCACAGGGAAGGGCTGTTCCTCCGTGAAGACGGGGCAAGGGGCAGAGCAGGAGCACTCCTGACCCTCCCCAGGGAGGCCCAAACTCTGAAGATCCAGGCAAGGCCCCAGGGAAGAGGCGAGGGAGCATAGGGGAACCCGTTTGCAGCCTGGAACAGCCCCCGGGCTGAGTTCTGCTGCCTTGTTCATCTTCCTCCCAGCGCTGACCCTTGACTGTCCTCGGGGCACCCACAGCTTTCCTACAGCTCGTAGGGCCCAGTTTAGTAACAGCGCTATCGCTTAAATTAAAAAATTAAAATATATATACATATATATATATACTGTATACACAGACAACAACAGAACAGTGCCAAAATGGGAGGGAGACAGAGAGAGGAGAGGAAAGGAGAGGAGAGCAGAGTTGGACATTTTCTTTACAATAAAAACAAGGGCTCCACGTCATCACGAGTGGAGTCTGGGGTCCCCTAAAAATACCCATCTAGAGAGAGAGCTGAAGGGACAGAGCAGGAGAAAGAAGGGGGCATGGGCTTGTACAATGGCATCTTTCCAATAAGAGCTGTGGTCCGCAGGATCTCAGCTTCTCCTAGACTTCGAGTGCTGAATAAGCCACTGTAGGGTGATGTCTGCAAAGGCAAGGGACAGTTAGCTCTTGCCCCTCTGGTTTGCAGCCCCTCTTGCACTTGACAAGCAGCCTGGGATAGTCTAGTGCAAGGCTGCCCAGATCACCCCGGGACGGAGTTTTCCTGCCACCATTGGTATGGAGATGCAAGTACTCACCAATATTGTCCTTTTCTTTGCAGGAGATAGAGTAGCAACAAATCTCTCGGTCCTGGATGGCAGACAGGTTCCTGTGGGAAAGGGAGAAAGCTCTGAGTGCCTGCTGCAAACCGCAGAGACTGTGCAAGCATCTTAGCACAGGGCAGCAACTGGACACGTCTCTCAGTAGCCACTTGAAGGGTCCCTTTGAACCCAGGGTCTGAGATAAGGGTCTTTCCAAGGAGCATGGGGAGCTGCTACCGTTTGTGAACTCCAGAAGGGTCAGATGAGGACACCAGTTCTTGGTGCCAGTGACAGCCACAGCATGTGCAGGGTGGGCTCTTACCATCACATGGGTTAAACAGAATCGTTCTAAATTGTCTGCTAGCTGCTAAATAAAGGGACAGAGGTCCAGACCCTAACAAGAACCAGGCCAAGAAATTACGCGACTTCCTTCAGAGCTCCCTAAAACTCATGGTTACACGGAACTCCTGAGATGGAGCGAATGGAACTGGGGACAGGGTGCGGGGCAGGATTTGCAGCACGGGGTGCCCACAGAACAAGGCAGAGCTTTGTTCAGCGGCTTGGAGATGCTGCAGCCTGACCCCAGCAGGTGAGCCTGTTCAGCCTGGAGAAGAGAAGGCTGAGAGGGGATCTAATCAGTGTCTATAAGTACCTCCAAGGAGGGAGTGAAGAGGATGGTGCTGGCCTCTTTTCAGTGGTGGCCACTGACAGAACTAGAGGTAATGGCCACAGACTGAAGCACCAAAAGTTCCACAGGAACTTAAGGAAATTTTTTTTTAATAGTGAGGGTGACAGAGCACTGGAACAGGCTGCCCAGAGAGGTTGTGGAGTCTCCTTCTCTGGAGATCTTCAAAACCTGCTTGGACGCAGTCCTGTGCCACGTGCTCTAGGTGACCGCCACTCTCCCAAGGCCTCCCAGACAGCCTGCGGGCAGGCGGCAGCACCGGTGCAGCCGCCGGGCTCCCTGAGAGCAGCCAGGCCCTGCAGCGCTGCCGGGCCCCGACGCCACCGTGTGGCACGAGGCGCTGTGCCCGGCTGCGGCGCCCAGCTCCTCCCCGGCACCATGCGCCGCGCGCGGCGGCAGCGCTGCCAAAGGAGCCCTCCCAGACAGCCTGCGGGCAGGCGGCAGCACCGGTGCAGCCGCCGGGCTCCCTGAGAGCAGCCAGGCCCTGAAGCGCTGCCGGGCCCCGACGCCACCGTGTGGCACGAGGCGCTGTGCCCGGCTGCGGCGCCCAGCTCCTCCCCGGCACCATGCGCCGCGCGCGGCGGCAGCGCTGCCAAAGGAGCTTCCGCTTCCAGCTCAAGGTTGGAAGGGACCTCTAGAGATCATCTAGTCCAACCCCCCTGCTCCAGCAGGGACACATGGCACAGGGTCACATCCAGGTGGGTTTTGAAGATCTCTAAAGAAGGAGACTCCACATCCTCTCTGGGCAGCTTGTCCCAGCACTCTGTCACCCTCACAGTAAAGAAGTTCTTCCTCACATGGTGATGGAACTTCCTGTGCTTCAATTTATACCCATTACCCCTTGTCCTGTTGCTGGCCACCACTGAGAGGAGTTTGGCCCCATCCTCTTTACATTCTCCCCTCAGGTATTTGTACATATTGATCAGATCCCCTCTCAATCTTCTCTTCTCCAGGCTGAATAGGCCTAGCTCGCTTAGTCTTTCCTCCTAAGATAGATGTTTGAACCCTTAATCATCTTCCTTGCTCTATGCTGGACCCTCTCGAGAAGGTCCATGTCCCTCTTGTACTGGGGAGCCCAGAACAGCACACAATACTCCAAGTGTGGCCTCACCAGAGCTGAGTGAGCAGGAGGAGGGCAGGATCCCCTCCCTCGACCTGCTGGCAACGCTCCTCCTGACGCAGGCCAAGATCCCGTTGGCCTTCTTGGCCACAAGGGCAAACTGCTGCCTCATGGTTAACTTATTGTCAACCAGAACTCCCAAATCCCTCTCCATGGAGTTGCTTTCCAACAGGTCAACCCTGCTTTCCATGGAGTTGCTTTTCAGCAGATCAACACTTTGTTTCGCAGCATCCACCCCAAAGAAAGCAGATAATCAGACATGCAGCAGGACGAACATAACTCAGCCCATGAGTGCACTTACATCTTCTCAATGAGCTCCTTCTCATCCAAGGCACCAGGGAGGTCTCGCTTGTTCCCAAGGACTAGGACCTGCAGGGGAGGAAGGGGAAACACCTGAAGCCCTTGTCCACAAGATCGGGCATAAACCTGCTTTACGTTACCCAGAACCAGACGCGGCTTAAGATGTATGGGAGCCCTGTCCTGTTCACCGGGCCATGCCACAGACAGACAAAAACCTCTCTGACAGGCAGTCAAAACAGCAGAGCACTTGAGTTAGCAACCTTAATTAGCTCATACCTAGCATCTCCTCTTATATATATTCTCTATCCCTGAACAGAAACTGGCCTTAAAATACGAACTCCCTTAAGGGCACTGTTCTTTTCTCATGGCATGTAGGACATTCTCCCAAGAGCCACTAACCATCTTTGAGCAAAAATCCAAGTGAAACCAGAGTGATGGGGTAAAATCTACGTAATAAAGAAGGATGGTAGAGAGACTAGCACAGTACCAAAGCTGCAGGTAACTAGCCTCAAAAAACCTGTTTGCACTATGCACTGAAAACTGTTCACTTCAAGGCTTTACACAACCATGAAGACATCCTCCAGCCTATGCAAAGGAAATTACCAGGCAGTATTTTCTCATCCCCCTGAGCACACCATACAACTGCCATTTGATAAGAACAGCATTGAAGCTGTGGTTGCTGTGAAATAGGGCCTCTCCAACACGACAGTATCACAGTATCCTCCCATTTAAATTTGCTGTAGACTTGTAAAGTTCAGGTTCTCGAAAAAGAGCACTCAGAAGTGCTGCAAACACAGTGCATAATGTCAGGTGCTTAATTTAGTTAGCAGTGAACATTTGGGATCTGTTGCAAGGTCCTAAATTAGCTCCTTTCAAAGGATGCCAATTCTGAATGCTCTGTAACCGCCCTCCTCTGCATTCATAGTGTGACCAGCGCTTGCAGTTGGTCACACTGCTTGCAGTTCACCTCATTCAAATGTCACAGAGGAGACACTGCTCTCCTAGGACAGCAGACCTTAATGTCCTGCCATAAATAAGGTGCAAATTCATGTGAGAGGACAGAGCTCACACATGGTGGTTTTTTGGTCTCTTCTAAACCTCCTCGCCCAGCTGTGACTGGGCTACTTAAACTCATGTCTGCTCATCATGGCCAAGCATAGAGCAGCACAGGGCAGGCTTCCCCAGCCCGGTGCACTGCCACCCCTGTCCCAAACTAGAATGCACCACTTGACAATGTTTTTCAGCAAGCATGAAGGAATGTAGATGGGAAAGGAACGTGATTATCAAGAACCTGTTTTTTCCCAGTAACACTTTTCCTCCAAATCCTGGTGACCTCCAGAACTGCAAGTGGCTAGGCAGAAATCTGTAAGGACAATTGCTCACCGGGATGCCCTGGAGCTGTGGTTTGTCGAGCAGGTTGTGAAGTTCATTCTTTGAGGCCTCTATCTTCTCCTGGTCAGCAGCATCCACCATGTACCTGCAAGGAAAAGAACATTCCTGAGCCTAGGCACCTGGGGAGATGCACAGCACCTCCCTCCAAAGGGTCTGGAATCCCTGTGCCTCTGAGGCTCATGCCACCAAACCTTGTGTCTGCCTTCATACCCTATTCCTCATTCTCATATGGCCAGACACACCAACCCCACAGCATGTGAAGGACGGAATCCTGCCCCCAGCACCCCTCTTTTCAAGGAAAATTGTGAGTTTGAGGGCAGCTTGTGTCTCCCACTTGTTCTCCACGATCCTGGGGAGGGAGGTCCACTCAAAACCCCCAAAGGATCAAGCAACAGCAAGGAAAGTCATGTTGCCAATAGATAAAGTGAGCAAAGGGGCTCCTAGGCACTGCAGTAGATGCTCTAAGAAGCTATAAGAAACACATTATTCCCAAGCATTCAAGAGGAGCTTCTCTGCGCATGGCATTTCTTTATGAAGGAGCAGATGGAAGAAAAAGACAACAGATCAGGCACGGATATGTCACAATGGAGCAGAGGAACTTGCTGACGTGCCAGAGAGAGGTAGGAAGGCAACGTGCTGTAAGGGTGGCCCACTCAAATACAGCCAACAGCCAGATGCGTTGTGAGGGATTTATCTGCTGAATTAGAGAACTAAGGGCAGACAGACAAAACCAGATGACAGGGGCACTGGATAGAGTGGCACTGAAGGCAGGAGGAACAGCTGAAGACAGTGACCAATATAGATGGTCATAAGCAGAGAAAATGAGAAGAGCTGCTGACAAAAAAAAAGCATGTGATGGGGCAGAGATTCACTCCCGCGCCAGAAGGAAACTTCTGGTTTCAGTCAGGAGGTTGCTGGTAAGGACAACTGATGGGACTGTCACCAGAGAAGAGACAAAGTGAACTGCTAGTGGCTGGATCCACAGGAAGAACTTCCTTGTGAAAAAAAAAGCACCTTCTGCCTTGAAATAAACTTGGATGCAGAGAAACAGGAGTGAAGAGGCCTGCAGCAAGCCAGCTGTTACCAATGTTCAATCTAAGCAAACAGAGGAAGACTTCAGAGTCTTCAGGACTAGAGAAGTACTTTCCATCTTACTGGGGTAGACACCCATCCTGCCATTCCATCATCCTGGGTAGACAACAGGAAAGCCAACAAACAGGCAAAGGAATGATCATCAAAGGAGTCATTTTGTTAAAGATTAAGAAGCTGAAAGCAAAAAATAAGAAATATCATCAAGCTTTATCAGATTTTGCACAGTTAATTAAAAATAGCAAAAGAATCTTTATCTACTTAGACGGAGAAATAGGGAAGACATGCACTACGTTGTTGAGAGGATGTAAAAAACACTACTCAGATTGCTATAAGGCTGTTGTACCACATTCAGTGCAGGAGGACTGAAGGCATGGAAAAGAAATGCAAAATATACTCAAGATGAAGATGATGGACCAAATGCAAACATAATGCTTCAAGAAACTGATAGCATCACCTGGGTGATAACTCCCTTCATTTCCTCTTATCAAGATGGACCACTTTGGAAAGATACTTACAGAAGTTAGGGAAGGAGGCAGTAAAAGGATGAAAAGCATGTGGGTCTGTCCAAGAATTTATCATTTTCAGGTAAGTTCACGGAAAAATACCAAGGAAATGTCCTCACCTACTGATCATTCACAAGAGCAGGAACAGCAAATATGTTCTTCCTCCTCAGGGTCCCATAAGCAGTGATGAGTGCAAAAGGCTCTTAAGCAAGTTTTAAATGTCTTGTAACCAAGAAGCAGCAAGTAGAACATGCCAGGCTGCCAGCAACACCCTAGAAGCTGGCCTAGGAGGCATGGCACAGACCTGGACTGTACTGGCCTGGATTAAGATGTGTTCCTGCTATGCGGCTGCATTAACTATGAAACTGCCCAGCTGGATCTGCAGAAGAAACACCACGTCCCAGACATCTATGGGCTTTCCAAAGATCTCTGCAATGGTCCGAGCCAGTCGTAAGAGCAGTTGTCAGGCTTCAAGTGTTGGGTCCTGGCCCAAAGTACTAGTTAGCACTGATGGGGCAGTCTGTGGGACATGATCAGCTCCACAGGTACTCAGGGTATCCAACAAGGTCCTCGGGGAGAAACAACTGCAAAGAATCAGCCTGAGCATGAACACAGAGCTGCACAAACACCCTGACCCTCTGACAAGTCAAGAAGTGGACTGAGGTTCTTCCACTCATTAGTTGTGGATCTCAAAATAGTTTGGGATTTGCAGAGCGAACATCTGAGCTGCATTGTCAGAGAGGCAGCTCCTGTTTTTAAGATGTGAATTTCCTCTCATTCTCCTTCACTTGTGAGGTCTACAGTTCAGAAGGGCAATACCAAAAAACAAGCCCTCCTGATCCCTCCAAATCCCAAGGCATGGTCAAATGGTGAAGGTCACAAATATCTGATTTTCTAACTAGTTTTAGACAACTTGAGCTTAAGCTTCCAAGGTAAATATTTGTCCTTAGAAGTATGTAGCTTGCTTCCCATGCATGTCTTGCCAAACTCCTCTCCAGCCAGGACTCTCTGGGACTGAGTTGACTGAAACATTCATGAGCAAAGGACATACTCAGAGAGACTGCTAATGATCAACAATAAGTATTGCAAAAACACAAGATTTAACCACATACGCACTACAATTTGGAAAAACCCTTAAAATCACCCTGCTGAGAGGGGGTGATCCACACAAATGACACTATGAGCCTTTCAGATTAATGGAGAGCACACAGGAACCGTGTAAGCAAGGAAGAGTAAAATCCAAGTAATACAGTGAGGCCAAGTGAAGTCAAATTAAAAGGAAGAGTTTGCAATGGCTAGCAGAGAACTTGTCACTCTGGAGAGCATTAAAGTCATTTTGCTACCTCTGTGATCATGTGGTGACACAGGAGCTGCAGCACCCCATGAAAGGCCAGAGCCCCAGGCTGAAGCATCTCAGCTCCTCACAGGGTTACCCAGTTCCTGGTGCTGGCAGTAAAGGCAATGCTGTGAAAGTCACCTTTGCTTGGGGCTCCTGATACATTGATCAAATGGCCCAGAAGAGCCATCTCAGCCATACCTAGCACCCTTGCGGGGTGAAGGGTGCTCCTAGGCATACTTACACGATGGCACTCACTCCACGGCAGTATCGCTCCCACATGCTGCGAAAACGAGGCTGGCCACCAATGTCCCAGAGCTGTGATAAGGAGAATGAAGTTTAAAACACTGTTCTGCCCTTCAGGACAGGGAAACTGCTCACTACCCACCCACCTTCCCCTTTGCATCCAGTCTTTAACCCTTCCCAAAGTGGCTGACTGCCCTAACAGAGCATCCTGCAGACACACAAACGAAACATCCTCTCCTCCTTGACTTTAAATCCAATGATGAGGCTTCAAACTCAACAGAGAAACAAGAAATTCCTCCACATGCAGCTAGAGAACATTAACAGAAAAGCAGACGGTCAACTTCATGCTGGTACTTTGTGCAAGCCACTTTCTGGATGAGATGAGGCTTTCCACTACCTAGGAGGGAATCTCAGTCCATCCATTTGCCAAGGATGGAAGAATAGAAAGTAGAGGCCAACTGGCATGAACTATGCATGCTGTGTTAGTGACATGCTAATTACACTGCACAGCCCTTTGCTGTCCTCCCAAAGCACTCCCAGGGAGGAATGGCTTCACGAACTACATACTTGGAGAAGAACCATGCCAGAATCCAGCACGAGGATCCATGAATGCATCACTCCAGTTTGACTGGAGCTATCCAGACTTCTCTGCTCAGTTGACACCACTTTCTGCAAACCTAAGAGCCCAGGGAACAACCTAAAACAGCCCTTAAGGTTTGGCAAGGCCTTTGCCTGTGCTAAGTATCCTAAGAACCTGGAGGAACTGGCCTTTTGCTGATGCATTTATCATTTCAAAACTCACAGCATCCTCTTTGAAATGCCTCCGAGGCAAGCAGAGATGCCCAGACCACCTTTTGAAGTCGAGGAGCAGTAGAAAAATATCTAGCCCACAGTTACTTCCTAGTTCAATCTGGTACCCTAGGAAGACACCCAATGGATAGTGATATCCTCTTACTATGCTCCCAAGACAGAGACCAAAATTGCCAGCTGTGAACTGCTCCTCCATCTATGAGCTTCCCTTGAACCCATCTTGCATCCCAAGAGCCCCCAGTGTAGACGTCTTTTGCACCTTACCTTTATGGTAACGTTCCCCTTGGTGATCTTCCTCATATTAAAGCCCACTGTTGGGATCATGTCTTCATTGAACTGTCCTGACTGCAAAGAAGAGATCAGACAGTCAGATGTGTTGGAGAACAGCACAATAAGACATCAAGTGCTGATACTCTGGCCAGAAATAGTCCTAAACACTCTACCAGCTCTGTCCTGCAACAGGCACCAAGTGACCCTAATCCTGTCCACACCAGAAGCAAAAACAGTGCAAAGGAGACCAAATACCTACAGCAGAGAAATATAGCTGCTATGTCACAACGGAATATTGCCTTCTTTGCAGGAAAAGACTAAAATCTTTACTTAATACAAAGAAAATGCAAATGTCCCAGCCAGCCAGCAAAATCACAGCATTTACTGTGCCTAGACCTCTTCTACCAAATCCCACTGTGGCTCTTCCCTTCACAAACCCCCTGAGCCCCCTGCTATTGCTCTTTGCTTTTCCTCCAAGCAATGCAGCTAAAAAATGCAAAAGCTTCTTCGCCAAAATCCCTATTCTTCCCCTGTGAGCAGAATGGGAGTTTTCCAGGCTGTGCCGTGCTGCAGCAGAGCTGATCCTGCAACTCCAAGCAGGCTGTTCTACTATTGGCTTTGAAAAATGTGGAGTTGGAAACCCAAGCACAGCTTCCACGATTCATGCTGGTATTGCTGGAAAATGTTTCTGTTTGGCCAGAACTCAGGTCTTCTCCAGCCACAAGCTCTGGGTACCTCGATGTTTTTCTGCTGTGGATAACTTATGGTCCAGCTTACAAGACAGTGACTTCTGCTTTCAGTCATAGCTGGCAGCTGCCCATGTCTTTTACATCTCATGTGCGTTGTCCAATGAGAGATGCAGTAGGAGAATTAAATTAGTTGCCCAGGCTAAAATGCAGAGCTTTTCCCACGTGGGTCCCGGGACCTAGGGTTTTTAGATGTTTCCCATTCATATGAAACAGTTTAAACGTCCTTGACATGGGTACAACAGGGACAAGCCCATGAGTATGGTCTTTCTGCTCTCAAATCCTAACTGATGATGACCTGTGTGGGTCACACCATGCCCTGGCCACCAGCAGTGAGAACTGGTAGCCCAGTAAGATGCAGGGCTCCATCTCTCCCCCTAGACAGAGCTTTCTCCCTGCTGCTGAGATTTACTCTCCTCCCCAAACCTTCCCTCAGGGAGGGCAGGACAAACCTCCCGGCTGGCTCCGATGCTCTCACAAGTGTGTCAGGCAGAAGCATGAAATTGCTGCAGATTTCCAGCACTGAAATGCTGCTGCGAAACTGGGTTAGTCTTGTCAAAGCCAGTGAGCAGGAGTCCTCCCCTCTGCTGCCTTAGGAGAGATCCCGGCTCTTCAGGCCACGTGCCCAGTGCTACCGCCAAAAGGAGAGGATGCTGCTCTCCTTTTAAAGCCTATCTGTTCTTCTAGAGTTTTCCAGTCAAGCCTCAAAGCTGTGAGATCTTTCCTAAGATCTGTAGGCACCAGCAGCCTGGTTAACTGGCAGAGCATGGGCAGGGCAGGGCCATATCTGTGGACATCTAAACACCCGGGTCATCCCAGGTGGAGAAGAGAAACATCCAAATCCAAGTGACACGTCTATGCCTAGAGGAGATAGCTTACTCCTCAGGACATATCTGCGGACATCTAAACACCCAGATCATCCCAGGTGGAGAGTGACACGTCTATTCCTAGAGGAGATAGCTTACTCCTCAGGACAACTGCCCAGGGTGGTCAGGCTGGACTTCAGCCATGTCACAAGGGTGACATCACCAGCACAAGAAATTCAGAACTAATATGTTTTATTCAAACGGACAGTTTGTGGATCTTAGTGCTACAGAATGTCAGGAAAACAAAGGAAAGACCTCATTGGAATAGCAGAGGTGATCCTCTTCAAGGCTTGGACTAGACGATCTCCAGAGGTCACGTCCAACCTCCAATCACCTTCTGTGATTCTCTGACACTAGATTCCTTTGGCCAAAAAATGATCCAGTCAACATTTCCAAAACAGGGGAGGATCATAAGCCCAGTCTTCCTTTAAATTCCACCAACAGCAAATGACCATACCACATTCTACGCAGGAGAGATGCTTAGATGAGGAAAGGCTTTTTCGGTCCAACTTTCTAAGCTGTTGTTAAGGAGGTAGAAATCAGGGACTCCGGGAGGAAGTTTTTACATCCTGGTGAACTACTTAAATTCTAATCAAACCAAGCCTGGTTCACAAATGTCCCAAAGCAGCTTCCAGCGGTGAGATCTGTTCACAGAATTCCTCTAAAACAAAGACAAGCATGATGAAACCCTAGAGCCTGAGATATAACTTTCAAGAGAAAGAACTCTGAGAGCAGAGCAACCTTCCCTCTATTTTCCAGGGTGAAGGAAAAGGCAACACTGCAGCTTTTGGCCACCAAATGTCAAAACGTGCAGACACGACCGCACACAGCACAACGCACCTCATCTACCCTTCCTGGGATTTAAAGGCTTAAAAACATTGTTTTGCTAAGGATTTTCCAGGTTTTCTTACAGTTAAGCAGTACCAGCAACACAGTCAGCAGAAAGGGAAAGCACTTTATGCCCTTCTCTGATAAGAAGAATTTAGTGCCTTTAGTCATCAAGTTTTCTAGATGCACTACATCAGCAAGTCTGTAGGGTTTTCCTAACTTTTTCCAAAGGCTCTGCAAATACATGGTGCTTCCCTTTTTCATTTCTCTTTTGCATTCAAGAAGCAAGGTCTGGCCACTGAACAAGGTCTCAAAGTCAAGACTTAAAAAAATATTTCTAGGATGAGCATCAGGTACTGAAAATAAACCAATTATCTGCTAATTCTCCTGCTGCTCTTACCCACCTTTTCTTGGTTGGAAAGGGACACACTGAATCAAGACCTTATGGTTATTATTTAATCCTCAGGAACTGACCCATCTCCCTACATTACTGAATCATCACTTTTTTTTTCCTGCAACCCACCCCATTATATTAGAAATTACCAAGTTTCCTCAAAAAAACATACTTGAGTTTCAAACACAAAGAGAAATGTAGCAGCTTTCATTTCTCGTCCATATTCTCTGCATCCAGCCCCCCCAATCAGCTTAGCACAGGAGCTTTTGGGGAGCCAAGAACACACTCTTCTCATACACTGAATGTTTTACAAAGAGGCATAAATAACTGTTCCAAAAGCAATTCTCTGAAATAAAAAAAAGCATTGGGAAAGGTAATTTTTAAAAATACCTGTATTTTGAAATGGATTGGTGCTATGCTCAGAAAATGATAAACTAGAGTAGCGCCCGCTGCAAACACCCTGGCCACCTTAAAGCAGCCTCAGTCACCTCTATTCTGTTCCCTCCCAAGTATATTTAGCATCCAAACTACAAACCCTCATGCATTTCCTTCCTTTAGGAACACGTGCAAACTGGTCTTTTTCTGAACTCATTTCCCTTTAGACTTAAGCCCATTATGTCACCCGTCATTTCTGACGGGCAAATGAGATCAGGCCAGCCCGGCTGGATGTGCTCATCCCAGCAACCCGAGCGCATTTCACATCCGTGACAAGATGAGCCACTCCTTGTAACAGGAAAGGGGCTGGAACGGTTAGACAGCCCTGCTCTACCACGCCAGGGTAGAGTGGCCCTTGGTACTACCAAGGGTCTATGGGGGATGGATACAGGTCCAAGAGGGTCCTTGGCTGAACTGGAGCAGCCAGGAGGAACTGCTGCCCAAATCTGAGAAAAATACAATCCAGATTTTTGCTCCAAATCCTCAATACGCTTCGGTTTCAATATACACATCGAGCTTAGCATCACTACTGCAAGCATATCAATGCAGAGATGGGTAATCATGGGTTTCTGTGACTGGGGACAACTACCCTGGCATCTTTTGCTCATCAAAGAAGCACTCAGAAGGACCACAGAAAGTCCTGATCAGCAAATTTTCTGCCAAGAGATAGCAGTCTCTGCTGCACAGGGACAGCAGGCAATGCCTTCTGAGGCCTCCAGATCCTTTGGCACAAGACAAAGGTCCCAACTGAGCAGGACTACCCATTTTCTGTCTCCTACTTGAGGGAAACAGAACTAGCCTCTCCGCTAGTTCTCCACCTCTCACTGCATCTCTCCAAATATTACAGAAGACTTGAAGAAGACAACTACTACTGACCTAGACTAGATCTGACTAGGTCAGACTGCCCAGCTCACATGATGGGATTATGGAGGCTTTAGAAGACGTAGTTATTAATCTATCCCTACCTTTCTTTTCCCACCATCTACAATACCTCCATGTCTCTGCTCCAGCACTGCCAGCATCCTTCCAGCCCCAGCCCATGGCCCTCTCCAGCCATCTGGAGGCAGCACCAGATCTCATATGAACTCCACACTGGAATAACTTGGCCTCTCATCTTTGAAATTATTCAGTCTCCCTTCATCTTTCACTGAACTGTAATCTCTGGTTTTTCATTCTACCCTCGCTGAGTTCTCAGAGGCCTCCAGCCATTGCCCTGCTCTCAGTTAATGGGTATCTAACCCATTTTCCCCTCAGGCACTTCCCATAATCGGTCATAACTCTTGGGCCAAGGCTGGAGCAACCAGCAGCAGAGCTGAGACTATTCACATCTCACAGGCACAGGACTTCCTCACAGGAGTCTGGTGGCTGCTTCCTTTTGCAGAAGATTCAGTCTAGCCCTGCACCTTACTCCTGGGTCCCCACTTCTGCATCAGGACTGTTGCATGCCCACGAAATCAAGGCTTTGGGCCTTCCTTCCTTAATCGACTTTAGTCGAGGTGAAGCTTCACAGAATCCTAGATGAGCCAAACAGGGGTAATAACCAGGACTTTGAAGCAACAGCACTGATGGAAAACGCAAACCTATCCTCAGGGCAGCCCGCTCGAGGGCACGTCTGGAAGAGGGGTTCCATCAAGCATTAGCTTCTCTGTCTCTGAGAGAGGAAGCACACGTTTGCAGCAGCTCACAAGCACATGGAAAACACAGAATGACTCAAATAGTTTATCCCTATATTCTAGTTGGCACTCTAGTCCTGTGCAGGGATCGCATTTATCCCAAAGGATCCCACCTGAGATCCTGGCACATAAACCAGCAAAGAC